AGTTCTAGAAATCAGCCTAATTCAACTAAGCATAAATTCTTCGCAAAACGCTTGTTTGTGAAATACTTGCTGCGGTTCAGCCGCGGCTTAGCCGCGGCTGAACCGGCTGGACCGGCTAAGCCGGCTTGCTGCACTAGTTTAGCTTATATAAACGTTGGAAAACAAGTGAGAACAAGTGTTCCACCAACTTTTATTAGAAGCCATTTTAACAATATTAATACATAGTACGATATTATAAATGAGGTTTTTTAGTTTTTGAAGCGAAATAACTATAAAAGTCAAATTCTTTTTGAATAAACGTTTCAAATTTCACACGAGCAATGTAAGATAATAAATATCATGCTTATCCTAGCTGAACTATATCTTGGTTAAAAAAGTTTCATTAAGTGTCACGTGGGTTAACAAAAGCCAGGATTTGTCTTTTGTAATCTAGCTCAATTTATAACAGATTCAGGTCCTGCCTACATACACACACAGCGTCAAGAAGCACTTTAATTTGTCTTTAATTACACCTACAACACTTTTACTACAACGCCATGAACAACTTAGATTACAAGGAATGAAAGATCAAACGAACAGGTATTTTCTTTTTTTTTTGAATACTTACTAATCCCCTTACTCTATTTATACATATTTTTACTTTATTAAACTACAAATTGATTAATACATTTTTAATGCAAGATAAAGCTAATCAATAATGCATTAACTACTATAGACTATTCTGTGTCACATTTCAGATTTGACTGATTTGCACTGCCCACATGATCACGTTGAACGAAAAATTTTGACAAATTTTTCGTACCTTGCATTTTCGCTATGTAGTTTCTTTATCTTCCTATGTAAAAGTAGTAAATCATGTAGTCACGATAGTAATAGCACGTGTACAGGTTCAAAACCCGGGGTTAGGGTTTGAAACCCGGGATCTGGGTTCGAAACCCCAGATCCGGGTTTGAAACCCTTGAACATCTAAATGTATAAATAGGCCACTTGTCTAGTAAATAAAGCAACTCTCTTCCGGACTCTTTCTAACTTTTAAAAACTCTTTCTTACTCTGCTCAAGTAATAAATACAGTGGATACGTGACCTAAATCTTATTGAACCCGATAATAAATATATAATAAACTCTAACCTTGCTTAATAAGTGACCCGGTGGCAACTAATTCGAACCTATAACGACCCGACTTGGACCCTACGTAACCTAACTGCAACCTATAATGACACAACTTGGCCCTACGTAACCTAACTGTAACCTATAACGACCCGACTTGGACCCAAGAAACCTAACTGTAACCCGTAACAACCAAACTTGGACCCCAAACAACCAGTGACGCCCCCTTACAAATATAGTTTAACTGGAGTAACGATATAATCTACACATAGTGCTGCATGTTCCCTACGATACTTACCCGATTCGATAATTATTACCACGTACGGATCTGGATTGTGCAACTTACTATCAGGATTTATGTTTACGGCACTGAATTAAATTGGTCTGGATATATATATAAGCTCTCCCTAGTTGTAACAACATGCATACCGAATTCAACGATCGAACTCTAACTTATCGACTCTCAACATTCCACAAATATAGTACATAAGGTAGCTGTGCAATGTTGTCGCACTAAAACCAGGAACATAAATTTGGTTTTCCCTTATTCAATTTTAACTCAACACAACACAAATTCAGTTTTTGTTCACTTATGATTATTTCAACACAAAATAGATTCAGTTTGTGCTTAATCTACACAACAATTTTTTTCTTAACACAGCATGGATTTTGCTTTTGCTCTATCTACTTATTTAAACTTGTCTTGACATAAAATGATATTTAGACTTGTCTTGGCACAAAATAGTTTTAGCTTTTGCTCCTTCATCTACTTCACACAACCAGAACCAAAATTTTATGACCAGAGAGAGAGCCTTTTCTTAAATTCAACTAATTTAACTCAGGGTTATAAACTTTAAACCAAATATTTATTATTATGCATAAGATACAAAAATGCACTAAAAATATAAACAATACAAGCAAGTATCTTTCTAATAAGTTTATTGATACATAATGATCTTCTGAAATATCTTCTATTTTCACTAAACCAAATAAGTACTTCCTAAACTCTATTTAAAAATACTAATTACTATTAGTCATGACAATCATATAACAGTATATTAAAAAAAGTCATAAGTCATATTAACTCTCATTATAACCAAATGACCCATGACTGGTAACAAATGTCACATAGGTCATCAACCAACATTGCATGTGAACGTGCATATGCACACGCACCTACTTACAAAATCATGATTTCAAAATCTAATGCATGTGCAATAAAGGATGCAGATAAGTAATGCATACAAAATTAGGGCATCCAATCAGAATCGAGATTTTGTGTATAAACGCAAAACCTGAATTGAACCTTATATACTGTTCCACTACGTTCCTGGTACAGGGGTTTGGTCATCACTGTGATATTAAGCAAAAGAGGATAGCATATAAAATGAATCAGTTAACACAAATATATAGTAATAACTTTCAAAGAACTATTTTCATCATAACTTTAAGTTATTTTGGTCCTTAATTGTAATATTTTTTAAAAATTGGACACTTATATATAATTATCTTCAAGAAACTTACAGAATTCCAATCTGGATTATAATACTTTATGAAATAATAACTTGTATACTTATGATTGACATTTTATTAATAAAAATTATTATCTGGGCTCTTAACTAGACGGTTTGAAGTAATTTTTTCTTTTTTTTATCAATTATTCTAACTTATATATTTTCTGATATTTGTTTTATATTTATTATTTAGTTGTTCTTGTAAATTTATTATTAACAATATTTATTTAGCTATATGGATTAAGTGAATCCCTTTGTGCAATTGATTTATTTTGCTGCTCTAAATTGTCTCAAACATTAAACAACATTTTTATCAAAATTTTGACTTTTACTTCATTGATTAGAAGTCTGTACGGTCTAGAAAATTAGAATTTTTAAAAACCTCACAAAATTGTAGCCTTCTGTGTCATAAGCATAGTAAAATACAAGCTAAACTTTTAAAAAACATAATAAATTTTGCTTTGCAGGCTATTCGCATAGCAAAAATACAAATTTTAGGCCTGTGCAGGCTTCTATATGACATTATTATTTAGTAATGATTATTATTGGATATAATCAATGCTAACATTAAATTTGATTACTTTTTTATGAATATTAGATTATCTTAAAAACATTTTATTTTATATAAGTAGAAAATTTTAGAAAAAATATAAATGTAAATCTTTAATTGCATTCCTTTTATTTAATTCTTTTAATCTAAGAAACAGTTATTTTAAAAATATTCAGATTTTGAATCCAAGGTTTTGGAATTCAAGACACCAAAAAAGATCGATCACTCGAAGAAAACTGGGTCTCTTGCAATAACACCTATTCTAAATCAATTGATTTTTAATAAATTTTATTAGTGGTATCACCTATATTCTAAGAGATCTAAAAACTATAATTAATATGCCAGAAGAAGTATATATATAAAATTAAAAATTGAATTTAAATTTTAGATAACTAAAATATATACTATATCTAAAAAAAATAAATTTAGAAAGTTTGTTATATTCTAAATTTCTTTAAGTTTGGTTAATTGATATAATTATATAAATAACACATAAACTATGTGAAGATTTTACAATTTAAAAAAAATGCTGCGATCCTTTCAAAAGAGAAAATAATGAACTATGTGCTAAATTCAAAAACAGGTTTAAGGGTAAAACAGAAACTGGGCATCATTTTTGACGTGAGCACTCACTATGATTCTTGTTACTAATTAAAATATACTTACAAGGTATGAATCAGAAGGTTATACAAAAAAAAAGTTAGAGGATATATCACACAATCTACACTGCTACATATGTTCTACACATGTTATTCTTTAATTTTTACTAATTAAAAAATAATTTAAGCTGATGTTTAATGTCAAACTTGTTGTTATTATAATTCAAGTTTGTTAAAAAATTCATAATATTGTATTTTATGTTAATATTAAAGTTTTTTTTTAAAAAAAATGCTAAACTTATTAAAAAATTTTCTTAGATTTTAATGACAAAATAGGTCAGTTAAAATTATAAATCTGATTTTTTTGGAGGCTGTTATGTTATAATCATGGTGAGTATTAAAAAATAAATAATTTACAAAGTATTAACAATTTTATTAAGCATTAAAACATCGGATATGACTAAATATGTGAAGAAATTCATTCTATAGTAATATCTAATTATCATTTTTTCTTAAAAAATAAGAAACTTTTCAATTATATCTTTACTATCAATAATTCTTTGCTTTTCTGCTTCTTTTTGATGGATATATTCAGAATATGAAATAATTATATTTTTTACTCCTCCAACTAGCCCATCATCTTTCTTTTGAAGGTTTTGACTATAAAGTATATTATCTGCCAATTGTTAAAAGGTTTAAAAATGGTTTCCATTGCTTTTCAGCATAAATCTTTTCTTAATAAATCTAAAATTTCTGAATCTTTAAAAAAAATTTAAAATGGAATAAATCAGTAAAACTTTTTTTTAAATAAAATTTATAAGTTAAACTACTTGTATATATCTTTTTTCCATTTTTTGTAATGTGATTAGATCATATTTTGAAGTTGTAACTTTGTATCTTATTTAAATGATTTGATTATTTTTCGATATGTTGGATCTAGTTTTTTGTATGGAATGTGAAATCAAGAAGCTGATGGACCACTATACAAAAAACTAGATGAAATCATTTTTGTCGTCTTGTTATTGCAGATGCAAATGAAAGTTCTGATGCAATAAACATTGGCGACAAAATCAATTGAACAGTAGTCGAATCATCATTTTAAATTGAAACAGGAGCTGCTGGTGCTAAATTATCTGTAATATTATTTGAATCAATAATATTATTTATTAAATCTGATGATGCTTTCTTTAATGATGATACTGACAGATTAGGTAACAAATCATTATCTATCAATAACAATTCTCAATTTTTGCATCTAAATTCTCCAACTTTTCATCTGATCTTGGATCAAAAAACTCAATAACTGTAGCATCTCCTATGCAATAAAAAAGGTCCATTGATTGCTGCTGCATTTTTGCAGTTCTTTGATTAGGCAAAATAGATTGATGTAACCCTGATCTAAGGCATTTAATAAAAGCATATAGTTGGGCCAATGTATCTAAAAAAATATATAATTTTAATTAAAATTTAAAAATTAATTAATATTTGTATAAACTTTTGTAATATAAATACTTTCTAATTTTTTAAATTTACTCATCATCTATTTACCAAGCAGTATATCTTGTTTAACAGGAAATATATAAAAATTATTTCATTCTCATTGCCAATATTACCAATAGCAGTTGTATTCAATCCATTGTGAGGCATTTCATCTATAGTATCACTATTTGGATTTACATTACTATAATTAATGTTCGGGTTTGTATTATTACTATTAATATTTAAATCTACTGTATGTCGCTGTTATTAGAACCAAAATTCACATCATTACAATTTGAAATAGTATCACTACAATTAATGTTTTGATTTAATTTTGTCTGCTTTAATTGTATTTTATTTTGTTTAGTTTCAAAATTTAGTAAGACGGATGATAAATTATCCCCATCTTCTTTAGAAATTATAGGTAATGCATTATCATTGGTTGTTTCTGATAGAAGGTAATTTTTTCTACTTAATGATTCTACCTTCCAAACTAAACATAGTAAGTTCTCCATCATCACAAGAATCTGAATAATTTCAATATTAAATAACTATATAAACACTGCATAAAATGTAATATATTGTAATTTTATGTTATAAGGAATACTATACCTCTTCATCTTTAAGTAAAGAATTACCACCAATCCCATTACATATGGTTGATAATTCAACAACAATATCATAAATGATTTGTTGTTTGAGTATTTCTGCTACCTGTTTTTCTTTATCATTAAGTATTTGATGACCTCCTTTAAGAAACAAATCTATATCATTAATTGTATCATCCTTGTTT